ATAAGGATTAAGGAGTTATAATTAGCATAATTGCTATCATTCTGTTTACATTTCTAAGGTTGACCTTAAACAGTAGTAGAAACATGTGGGAAGCCAAGGATTCTGATGGAGCTTCCAATCCTAAGCAAGAGGTATCTTCCAAGGACTCTTTAGGTGACCTGGGTCTCACCCAAACTCAGGGAACCACCTCTGAGACAAAGTGCTGTCCATAAAATTCTATCATGCCAATACAGCAATCAGGCTTCCATCCTCAATCAAACCAATAATACTAATACTTTTTATTTCTGGCAGTGTGGGAAAATGGAAAAAACCTAGATCTCAAAGTCTACTGGACTAGGTGCCAGTTCTGCCACCACTTGCCAGTAATTCGTAAGTTGCTAAACCTTTCTGAGATGGGTAACATGGGGCTTTTGAGAGGATAAAATAGGATGGCTAGCAAAGTCCACAGCACAGAGCAAGTGCCCCATAAATGGTCGTCCCCTCCCTCTTCCAGCTCTAGGTCATTTTATAACCGCTTGTTTAGGTTCATGGGATCCTAATGGCTAAGAGGAGGAGCCTGTCCAGTCCTCTCCTATATGTAAACCCTCTGCAACTAGACCCAAGAAGAACCCCCTTGGACTGTGCCTCTGTAAACTGGTACCTTCACTCTCATCTCAGATGTGTGGCTGTCACCTGGACCTTGACCATGAAGTCCACCATCATTCACAGTTTTTTCTCCTGGCCTTCCCTTTTGCCCACACTGAGAGATCTTGTATATGCCCTCTTGTACTTGTTCCTCACTTTCTCAATGTTGGGAGCTTTCATGGGGCACATTCACCCTCCCAAAATGTAGGAACCAGGAAAAGTGCTAACATGCACTGTATACTCTGAACCAGGCCATGCATTACACCTATTTTGTGTGTGTGTGTGTGTGTGTGTGTGTGTAGCCTCAGGAAACCTCAAACCACCTCCATTCTACAGAAGAGGAAAGAGACCCAGGGATGAATTCACTTGCCTACATGAAGCAGCTTCTGAACTGCATAGCCAGCATTAGAACCCAGGTATTTAACCATTTTTTTACACGCTCATAGCCTGCAACGTCTGTTTCCAGGCACTGAGCTGGAGCTTGGAAAAATCCTACTGACCATTGAAAGCTAGAGCCAGTCCAATTGGGTGGTAATACCTAGCCCCTCAATCTTGCCAGACAAGTGTCCCCAGACTTTGTGAATGAAGACGAAGGAAGAGAAATGTTGCAGTGACTCCCTCATATTTCTTTCCTGTTGCAAAAAGTGCTTATTTCGGTATCCATCATCTCTCTCTTTGTTGTGTAGACAATCCCGGTCGGAGGATTTGTGCTGTTATTATGAGTTTGTTTATTATTAGATTTATTTCTTCTATAAGCAAATGTGTTCACAACATTCCATCGGGGAATCTTCTTAATTGTCACATAAATGTCATCTTATGTAAACTGAATATTTATCTTTCCACGGAAGGGGGTGGAGGGGAAAGAAAGAATAAACAACTTTCAGTCTTGGAGAGGGAAGGCGGTTCCTGTCCCAGTTCACAACTCACCCATGTGCCTTCAAAGCCAAAGGTGAGCTGAAAAAATTATTGTATCATCTTTGAGGGGCTGCCAAAAGGGAGAGGGAAGAAAAAGTTGGCAATGATGCTTTGAGGATACTGGGCCAGGCTCCCAGGTCTTCCCCCACCAAACCCCGCCTAAGACCAGACCACCCCCTCCCCATCTGGGAGCATCCGAGAAGGCAGCAGCGTGCCCCCTACTTCTTTCCATCCAGGAGGCCAGCCCTGCTCCTTCCTCGAGAGAAGGTGAGCGCGGCGGGTGCAGCGGGTTGGGTGGGTGTGGCCCGCGGCACCGGGAACGTACCCAAGGCCCCGCCACCGCCCGAGAGCCGCCCGACAGCCCGCCCGCCTGGCGAGCGCAAGCTCTTCTTCCAGAAACTGCGAGGATTCGAGCGCACTGTTTGTGCACCACAAGGTCAAGTCGGGAAGTGGAGCCGGAGGAGGAGGGGCGAGGAGGCGAAGGGTGGGGAGAGGGGCGCCCCGCTTCCTCGCCAAGTGCCAGTCCTTGGAAGTTGCCCCTCGGTTTTTAACCCTTTAGGGGGAGTGGAAAGGACAAACAAGGGGGAAGTGGATACCCGGGGGCAAACTCCTATTGGGGCCTGGATGTACAGTCACCCACCCACCCATCACTGCGTTCCCCACCCCCCGGAAATGCGGGGCAGAGCTGGGCGCCAGGAGACACCGGGCGGGGGGAGGGGACAACGAACCTGAGAGGGACCCTCTCTACGGACCGCCCCTCCTTCTAGAGGTCGCCCACAATTTCAAGTTTCCCCCGCCTGGGACCATAGTTTCCATCTGCTGTGGGTGGGGGAGGAGAGCCGCGCCCCCTCCCCCAGACTCGCGCGCGCCCCTCCCCTCTGCTCCTGCCAGCACTTTCTGCTCACTTCTGGCGCTGCAAAACGCCACGCGATTTATTCGATTCGCATTTTTAAACCAGCGATTCAGGAGCAGGGCCTAGGGCGAGGGTCTTCCAGCGCTGTAACCCCGGGAGGCGGGGTGCTCAGTGCAAACCTCGTTCTCTCCGCGAGTGTCGCCTTCAGGCTGTTATTTGCAAAGAAACGTCTTTTTGACGCAGGGAGAAATGGCAAATTTTAAGTACGTCATTAATATGGCGCCAAAAGATTTTTTTAAGTATAAGCTTCTTTTTTTTTTAAGGTTGCGGGGGGCGCCGCCCGGGTCTGGGGCGCGAAGGGGGCGGGGTGTGAGCAGAAAGTGTGAGTGAGAGAGTGGAGGGGCGGGGTATGTGTGTGAGTGTGTGAAGTGTGAGCAGACCTGATGGGACTTGCACGGGCGCAGCCGCCGCTTGGGCCCGGCCCTGGGGACAGGGCGGGCTGGGGGCGCCCCAGAGCCACTAGGGAGTCCGGGCCTGAGGTGCAGGCAGGAGGGCGGCCCAGCAGGGCACCCTCCCCCCCGGAGGCCTGTAACGCTACCTGGACCCGCTGCTGAAGCCAAACTGGGCGGCGGGAGGAGGGGGCCGGGGGGTGTTAGGAGTGGGGATCCGAGTGAATATGAAAAAAGTGGCTACTCCCCCTCCCTCGCTCGTCCCGCCCGCCCCCACCCCACCCCCACCCCAACACATTTTTTTTCTAAAGAGATCACAAGGAAGTCTTGGTTTAAAAAGAAACAGAAACATACACAGGGGGGTTGGTGAATGGTGCCGACCGCGGCCATCGCAGTTGGAAGCTATTTGGGGGGGTTGGTGAGTAGTGCCTATGGAGTTACTTTGCGCCCACTACTAGCCGCAAGGGCTTAGGTCCGGCGGGCTGACTGTCCTCGGCAGGGGTGCGGGGCCGGGGACCCCACGGGCCCGGCCGCCTCCCTCGCCACGACCCCGGATGGATGCGCGCCCCCCGCCTGCCCGCGCCAGCCCCATGAGCTCCGGGTTTCAGGAGCATCCTTCCCACGCCGGCTCCCGCCGCGGCGCGTAGCCGGTGGTAGTGCCCCTTGGAAGGGCACCGTGGAGCAAGGTAAGATCCGACCCCCGGCGCCTGGCCCTGCGCATCTCCTCGGCGTTATTTTGTGTTTTGCAACAGATCTGCTAGCGCTCCTCGCTCCCTCGCTCGCTCTCTCTCTCTTGCTCGCTCGCTCGCTCGCTCCCTCTCTCTCCTGCTGGCTGCCTGTTCTAGGAAGCCAGCGCGCGGGGGGTGTGGGGGGGTGCCGATGCACAGCACAGGGGAGAGAGATTGCGCATGTTGGTCAGTCGTGTTTTAAAGAGTACATTGCGGGGAGGCTGAGAGGGGCGCATGCAACAACAACTTTTGGAAGGGTGAGCTTGGCGACCTTCTTTATTAATGACTGCGGCAAAGCGCCCCCGGGCCGGGGAGGGGGC